ACCAAAGGTCGTGGGTTCGAATTCCGCTCGTGACACTGACTTTTATGTCTCAACCAATACCTTAATTAAAGATTAATTAATTGAAAAGAATTTATTTGGCCAAACAACAAAACCTATGGTTACAATTAGACTAGGCTTAGCACGCCTACTCATTCAGAAGGGGGAGGCTACGGACATGGGAACTAGGACTACTAGGTCGAAAAATATTGGACATGTGTCCAAGGGTTCTTGCCAATAATTAACTTAATTTTTTGAAAATATGGTTTTATGCCTTATAATGACACTTCCTCCTGTTCTGTACGGAGTGATGAACCTACAATTTGATCTTTACCGATTACCTTGGTCGGCCTATCCTCTTGCCGGTTTGGCCTCGTTTCGGCATTTCGCCATCTTCAATAGTTCTAACCGTTACAGACCCAACACTAATGATCGGTAAGTATTAAATTACATATTTATTACTTTTCACTTTATCTTCGCTCTTTTTGAATCTAACGACATAGGTAAATACAATTTCATGTATCTTTTCATTTATACAATTTATCCATACATATTTCGTAGTGTTTGATGTCTATCAGTCTTTCTTGTTCGCGCTTGATCGTTGATTTGATTGTTATAGAACATTTTCGCCTGCCTACACTGCTGAGTTGGTCTGTCTGACGCTTTCGACATATTCAGGAAAAATACAGGTTTCAATTCAATAAATTCAGGCTGAATTATATGATGTTACAATAGATATATAACAAGTTACAAAAACAAAATGACGCTTTCAGCAAAGATGGCAAAAAATTTTGCTTTTGAATAAACAATTCGGAATCGTTCTAAGCACCCTTTAACACCCTTAAATACGAATTTTCATAGTAATAAAATATAGAAGTTTTAGGCTTGACTCACTGAGGGCAATAGTTGTTTTTCAGCGAGGTTCAGAATTCCAATTAAAAATTAGTAATCTCTCAAGTGATGTCTAATGTTCAGTGGATTAAAACCGTTGGAAATGTGCATCTCTTCCTAGAGCCTATATCAACAATCTGTGATTTTTATGACATGAATAAGATAAGGATGAAATTAGCAAAAGCTCCCTAAACGTTTTATTTACCTCCGATTATGATTAATTTACGGAGTTCAGGTTTGGTGCCATTACGTATAGGCTACCGGGTTCTAAACCTCTGGAAAGTGTCTTGTAGTGATGTTTCAAAGTTATCATTGTTTTTGTGAATTTCGAAAGGAAAATATTTTAAGGAAATGCCCCAGTGAATCGAGCCCAAAAATAACTAATTTTTAATTGAAAATTCTTGTATAAGTAAGTTCAACTTTACTGGAAACATCTTTTTGTTTTCTAAGGTTTTATGTATTTATCTTCTTTAACACAATCTTGCGTATTATTCTGTTATCCTTGGTGCAAATAATCGATTGATGTACAATAAATAATCTTGCGTAACAAAGGCAGAAAAAGATATTTTAAAAATTGCGTAAATCCCCTAGGTTTCTCTCTCAATCTCTCTCACTCTCTCTCTCTCTCTCTCTCTCTTTCTCTCTCTCTCTCTCTATCTATCTATCTATCTCTCTCTCTATCTCTCTCTCTCTCTCTATCTATCTATCTATCTATCTCTCCCACTCTGTCTCTCTCTCTCTCTCTCTCTCTCTCTCTCTCTCTCTCTCTCTCTCTCTCTCTTATTCTCACTCTACCTATTTCTTTACACCTATCTACCTGTATCTATCAAATTATTGATACATCTAAATTTTCTTTTTATTTATTCCAATTTCCTTCAATTCACTCTCTCTCTCTTTTGTTCTTTCTTACTTCCTCGCTCCCTCCTTCTCTCTCTCACTCTCTCTCTCTCTCTCTCTCGCTCTTATTCTCACTCTACCTATTTATTTATTTATTTATATCTATCTATATGTATCTATCAAATTATTGATACATCTAAATTCTCTTTTTATTTATTTTAATTTCCTCCTATTCACTCTCCCTCTCTTTTTCTTTCTTACTCCCCCCTCTCTCTATCTATCTATCTCTATCTATCTATCTCTTTATCTCTCTCTCTCTCTCTCTCTCTCTCTCTCTCTCTCTCTCTCTCTCAATAGTGGATCGCACTGGTTGGCTGATTCTTTTCAGGTCTTTGCAGTTTAAAATATATTTTTTCTTTTTGTTAGGAACAAAGTTGCTATTCGTTTTCTGAGCCATCATCAAGAAAAAAATTAAAAAATGTTCTCTTCTATGAGGCTCCGATGCAAGCTACAGACTTATGAGCGATGTTGGTGTTTCTCAGCTCATGCACATCATCTGAACTACTGCAAGGAAGGAAAAAATTCTTTCCCTCCTTCGAACAACGTGGCACGCATCTAAATTTTTTAACGACAAATTGACTCAGAATAATCACGTTTGCAATTTTAATTGAATTTTACTTTCTGAGTATTTTTTTAAACTTGGACACTGTATGTTAACCAAACGAACAAGGTTCCTATTAGAAAATTGGGGAATTTTAATTTTTCCTGCTAATATTGTCAATGTATATTTTTTGTGATATTAAACCAAAAGCCTTTGGAGAAATTTAACATACGCGCTCGGCAGAGATATAAAACAAATGCCAAGGGTACATTGAAATTTTCGGTAAAGCTCCGGGAACAATTTACCGGAGAGCGATCATACATACTACTTTTAACTTATGCCGCCCTTGTTACGGCAGGACATTATGCTAATGCTAATCAATTACGTACAACACAAAGGAAAATTCTCCCCTTGAAATAATGATAGGCTCCAAGAGTATTTCATTTGAGTCAGCTCCCATTATGAAACGGTTTCACACAAATAGAAACAAAAATGGGTGGAGGAAGCACACTGCTAAACATTATAATTAAACGTATAATCAAAGAAATTAAGATCAGATTGTTCTCGCAGGTTTTTCATGGGATTGTTAACCTTAAAACATAATACAAAACAACTGATTATTTTTTTGGTTTTCGTCTTTCATTTTATTTTCTAAATAAATAAACGGTGTTTAATTTACGACGTTGCATCATACGACTATAATTTCACGTAGTTTGCGGGATACGACTGATTTGGCTAAAAAATTGTATAAATTAACATAATAACCTTGCAGTTGTAATTCGTTATCTTGCTGAATTATAGACAATAATAATTATTTAGGAGTAATGATCAGGGAACAACTCAATTTTACTCAGCATAAGATTCCGCTACTCTTAATCTGTGTCCTCCATGTACAGTAATATGCCATAGTGTCAGTGTTAATGACCGGAAGAAAAAACCACATGCGCACATATTTGTAGTGTGTATTTTTACATGAACAGACTATAAATAACTTACTTATAAAAAATGTACTAAACTTTCTTAAATGTTAAAAACAGTTTTTTAATCCTTAGTCATCCATAGTGGTCAACGTGAATTCCACTTTGGATGATTAAGGATTAAAAGACATTGCTCATTTATTATTATAAACGATATTTTTTTTTTTTTCATAACACCGATCATTGTAACATCGGCTTAACTAGAATGATCTGTAACCATTTTGAGATTGATTTTTCGCATTATTTTATCCATTAAACCTCATCAATAATTTTTTATTTTTGTTTTTACATAATTTTGACCTTTAAAAACAACTGGACATGTAAGTAAAAAGGCTGCTATACTGACTTTTTGTAAATTGGAGAAATTGAATAATTTTTAATTTATTAAAACTACAGTTGGATGTTTTCAGGTTTTTTTGAATATATCCAAGTCGATTTTATTCAGAATACGTGTTTTTATATTACAACTGGTCTATGATCCTTTGTAGTCTCGCTTAATTTGAACAATCTTTTTTGAAAAATATATCTAGGTACTTTCAAGACCAATGTCTACTTCGCAAGATTCATTCATTTATTGTTCAGTAAAACTGTTGTTAGCTCAAATTGATTAGTTTTATTTGAGAGCAATTTTAAATCATACATGTAATTGATAGTGTTTGAAAACTCTCATATCAAGCACGGTTTGATCTGTAAAAAGCACTGCTTTGATAGATCACATCGTGAACTGACGTCAAATTGTCCTGTTTACTGCTAAGTTAACATAAAATAATTTTTACCAATGTTTATCATTTAAAACTTAAGATATGAACTTACCTTACCTCTTACGGCTTTCATGATGAAATCATGCTTTCATATCAGGTGGAATGCACAATTTGTGACCATTTTTTTATGGGTCTTATTTTCTCTTGCAAATTTACCTTGTCTGGAAAACAATTGACACGCCAAAATCTATTTTTGTGTATATAATGATCAAAAATAACTAATTTACATTTAAATTATATCTTTTACGGGAGGTTTTTGATGATTTTTAAATATGTGTCCGATTTTATTTATAAATGAATGTGTTTTGAATTTTCTATGATTATACATTCTTTATTTTCTCTCTCATTGAAAAAGAAAAAAATGTTTTGATTGTTTACACAAGATGTTTAATGTAAATGTAATGTTAATAAACCGCTAATGGGGCGTCGGTGGCCGCATCGGTTGAGGCGTTGACACGTCGCTCATCACTGTAAGGTGGAGGTCCCGCGTTCGAATCCAGCGGCCCTGCATTCAAACCCGACATACTTATGGGCTTTTTTTCAAAAACACCGGCACCCTGCGGGTTTTTTTATATTTCATTAGTGTCTCTAAAAATTGTTGACAGTACAGATTTAGTTCTCAATTTTCATCTGTGTCGAAATTTTTTAATTTAAAGGATATTAGGTGGAACAAAATAAAAGGTCTGTTAAAATTTACATAACAACATTTAATGCTGTGTACATACAATATCACATAACTAAGCTACTTTATGTACAATCACTATACATTGGAATATATTACGCATATTTTTTAGGTTTCATACATAGGGTCAAGTTTAAATTTTGAGATAAAAGGAAAACAATTGCACTTAAACCTATAAAACTTTTAATTTTATAATGTATAATTATATTTATATATTTTTATTTTAAATAAATTAAGTGACTTGTGATTTATTGTACAATTGTCCTTTTTCTTTACTTTCTTCTTTTTAAATATAATAGATATGTACATGTGCTTTATATACAAAACAAGATCGCGAGATGAGATTGCACGATAAAAATTAATGGTAATTCTATAAATTAATACTGATACTGAGCGACTCAGCTGAAGGACATTTGTCAACGTCAATAAACTTTTACATTGTATTTACAAATTAGCATGTGTTTTTGTACACGAGGAACTTATTTTTCGATGGGTTTCTCGTCTTCGTCGGTGACAGGCTTTTTCTTCAGCATACCGAACGAGTGGACGCTTTCGAGGAAGGACTTCTGCGTCGCGAAGGCCTTGGCAGTTTCGACGTCCTTCTTCAGCTCCTCCATGTCTCTCTTTAACTTCGCCCTCCTGTTCTGGAACCAGGTGATGACCTGGGCGTTGCTGAGTCCCAGCTGAGCGGCGATTTCGTCCCTGTCAGCAGGCGAGAGGTACTTTTGGTATAGGAACCGCTTCTCTAGCTCGAAAATCTGGTGGTTGGTAAAAGCCGTCCTCGACTTCCTCTTTTTCTTTGGCTGCTGTCGGTTGGAGAACATGTTCATGTGGCTCCCTTGGCCTTCTAAAACAAAACAATAAAAACTTGTTAGAAAACAATTCACGCAAAACATGCTGAACATTGTATATAGGTTTATAGAAGGCATTGGTTGAGATAAAAAAAGTCAGTGTAACGGGATTCGAACCCACGACCTTCGGCTAAATTCGCCACTGCTCCCCCACTTGAGATACCGTGACTTCGATCCACTCTGACACCAACTTCCCATCTCAACCCCATCTTTCGAATTGTCCCTTCCTTTTCGCCTTGTTGGGAAGTTGGTGTCCAAGTGGATCGAAGTCACGGTAGCTCAAGTGGTAGAGCAGCGGCGCATTTAGCCGAAGGTCGTGGGTTCGAATCCCGCTTGTGACAGTGACTTTTTTATCTCAACCAATGCCTTACATAAAGATTAATTAATTGAAAAACGTTATTCGGTCAATCGGACCACAAACTATAATGAATTGTATATATGATTGAATTGCAATTAATATAATGTCATGTTCTAAAACATTCAGGCTAATTATGTTCTAGCTGTTGTTAAATGTTAGTGTTGCTTAGACATTTTTTAAATTATGGTCTACTACTTCATCTTCTATCTATAAAAGAGATTCTTTATTTTTCCAGAGTGGACATATGTCATTTTTTTAATTGGTCGGATTTCCGGAATTTATCTTTTTACCCACACGTTACAAACAATTGCTATGTTGTTTTAGCTTTAATCTGTAGTATGTTTTATCTGACATATACAAGTTAGACAGCATATAAATGAATGTCATATGAATATTACTTCACGTGGAGGGTCTTAATTCGAAGGACTTGAAAAGGCCAATTTGCGTGACTAGGCATTGGAAAACAGTGTATTCAGTCGTTCGCCCGAGGCGGCCCAGATTTCGAAATACGATTACATCTCCATCATCGGTTCGGAATCACTTAATTGCCACGTACACAATGGGACGGGGAGCTAACGATTCATTGTAAGGGAACAATAGGCCCCGGCACCGGAGTCATAACTTCATTGAAGGTCTCCAAATTTTTCGAAGACCGGAGACAAATTTTCGCTCTTCGTGTCACAGTTTCGCAAGATTTTTGAAATACGGCTTCGATTGTAAGAGAATCGTAATCCATAGAGCCTCTTGGATCCCAATGGCCTTGGCTAATGGGATGTCGGTTGGACTGTCAAGTCACTAATGAACTTCAGGAGCGGTTCGTTTGTTGAAGACCGACGTCTCTCTTTCCTTATCGTTTCTCAGAAATAAAAAAGATCCAACAATCATCCAATGGATATAATTTATAATTCAACAATATATATTTTATTCGTTTAAATTAGCGATGAAATTGCAGCTAACTGCTTGCAAAACTTACTTTAAAAAAAGGATTACTAAACTTAGTTGCTTAGAGAAGTTAAGAAAACCGACCATATAGTTCTCTCTCTCTCTCTCTCCCTCTGTGTGTGTGTGTGTGTGTCTGTATGGAGAGAGAAACAGATTTTATTCACCATGTTGTATTAGTGGTTTTGTCTCTTTCTGGAATTTCCAATATTTCTAAAAAAGCGTAAAATAATTTTAAATATAGGTGTATTCATCCAATAATACGAAAGTAAATGCATTATGGAGTTGACTTGTCCGGACAGAAAAGAGCAAGAAAAAATGAATAAATCTGTTGAAAAGATGTTAGAAGGTCGTGTTGTCGACACATTTCCAAAACCCAGGCTATAAATTCTACAGGAATAACAGATTGTTATAAGGTAACAGGGCAGAGGGAGATAATATAAAAAGAAAATAAGAGGTCATAAAGTTATACGAAGAGGCGGCATGGGTGGGACGTTATTTCCTTGATCGAATCCTCTTCGTCTGTAAAAGAAGTGCCGACTCACATTCACAAAGACGGTCTGGAACGAAAGTTCAGGGGGCTTGGACTTTTTATTTCGCATCGGATTAAACGCAGTTATGCCACACAGGTAATAAAAAATAATATATCAAAATAAAATAAAAGGAAATTCCCAATACGTCGGAAAAAATACCACGTGATAGGAAACGCGAAGAGAGTATTTGTAGATTTTGTAACATGGGATTTAAGCAGTTCTTAAAATCTTCCCTGATCTATTTTTTACCATAACTCTTCTGCAACAAGGTTTAAAATTGAAAACTTTTTCTTTGTTGATTTTTATACCTCATTTTACGATATATCGAAATGGTTTATAAACCAAAAAGTCTGCAAGTGTTCGCCTATTCATATAGAGGAGCGTTTATTACCCAAAAGCAATGCGGATCTAGTCTAGTGAAAATTTGAGACGTTTTGAGAAGCACTTGTAGACAAACAGCGAGGAAATACTACTAGATATTATCTGGACTATTCAAGCCAAAACTGTTGTTGTTACTGGTCTAGACGTGGTTTTAAAATTGATGCCACATGTAGTATCAAGTCCATATATATATGTGTGTGGACATGTAGGTAAATAGCGAGGATATGCGGACCCGATATCGATTGTTTCATTTAGCTAATTAAGGTTTTGGTTGAGATAAAAAAATCAGTGTGTCACAAGCGGGATTCGAACCCACGACCTATTTAGCCGAAGGTCGTGGGTTCGAATCCCGCTTGTGACACTGACTTTTTTATCTTAACCAAAACCTTAATTAATTGAAAAGGATTTATTTGGTCAAGCGGACCACGAAACCTAATAAATGTTTCATTTAGATTGAATTGCCATACTAAACGTGCTTGTGGTTAAAACTCTGGTCTTTTTTATAATACAGCCATAACTTTGCCTCAGACCTATAGCGAGGCTATCAACACTGATTTAAAGGTTGACTAGACCAATTACAAATTTTTGAGTTTTATTGCTGTTTTATACTTAACACGTTGAGTTTTCGAACATGCCTTTTATTTGAATTATTTCAAAGGATTTATGATTTGAAGAGATATCGTTCAATTTTGGGTGACTGTTAAATATGTGAAAAGTACTAAAGGCAAGAGCTCAATTTATGTTTTTTTTTTAATTAGTATAAGCTTTTAAAGTTGACCATCTAGGAGATGAATAGATCAACCAAGGTGTTGAGAGGATGTCACCTGAAGTTTGACGTCATGTAACGGGGGCGTGTCGGCTCAGTTGGCTCATCATGATCGTGCCCTGTAATCATCTCGCCGCTCTTCACCATCTCCCTCAGTCCCGATGGGTCGGAACCCGCTCCCTCTCGCTCCTCTCTCCCGAATTAGTGCATTCCTCGGGATAAACACTTGTTCCAGCCCCGCCTTGTAATAATCGAACAAGGGCAAGGTGTCGCTCCGGATTGCCCATTCAACTTCTTCCTACCACTTTGGGAGGTCCAGACATAACTAACTGCCTCTTCTCAGGCAAGCCCAGGGAAAAAAATCTGGGTGAAAGACTTTTTACGCCCGGCTAATGTGACGATTCTTCACGGTGAACCTCGAGGGAGATCCCACATTCCTCGAATACTAATCGTAACTTATCCCATCCTGTCGATTTATCTTTTATTTGTAATATTTCGCCAAACGAACTTCATTCGACGCAATCAAGTTTTGGATAAACAATTTCGAAAACAGACAGCATATTTCACGTTGTCAAATGTTACCTCGAATACTCAAGCAATATCCAATGAACATTAATAGACAACCCATCTGGTCGAAGAATCTGCGGGTCTGTTAATTTCATCTAATCTTTTAAATGTAGTCTTCCCAGGCCATTTGATTTTGATTTTAGTCTTCTCTCCAAACAAGGACTCAACAACTCAATCCAACGTTGAAAGTAATTTAAAAAATAGCCATAAAGCCACGTTTTCCATTTTTGCGCATATAAAAGTTTTAAATTATAAATTTCGTGCAAAATTCTAGATTTAAACATTTTAAATTAAAAATTTAGGTGTGAACGTTTTATTGGAATATTCATAATTTTTTCTGAACGACAGTGAAACCGCACGGCTCAAACTGGTGCATATACAGGGTGTCCCGTTAACAGATGTAACACAGTACTTCAGCAAGTTATCCTTCATGTTAACTACGACTAAAATTGTCCCTATTTTTTAAAGTCTGATTCTCAACTGTAATCGAAAAATCACACTTATTAGGTTACAAATTAATTAAGGTTTTTAGTTGAGATAGAAAAGTAATTAATTGAAATATATTAATTGGTCAAGTGGAACACTAAAACTAGTTAATTTAATAAGTAAAAATGAAGTGTACCTTCACTAAAGCTCTCCGTGGCCATTTCATTTATCGCCGAGAATCAAATAGATTACACGACATTTGAAAAATGGCAAAAAGGAGGACAAATTCAAAAAGGTGTGGTTGATATAGGAAGTTAGTGTCCGAGTGGATCGAGGTCACGATAGCTCAAGTGGTAGAGCAGCGGCGTATCTAGCCGAAGATCATGGGTTCGAATCCCGCGCGTGACACTGACTTTTCTATCACAACTAAAAACCTTAATTAATTGAAATATATTAATTGGTCAAGCTGACCACTAAAACAAGTGAATTTAATAGGTTATTTCAATCTTTCAAAATTTTATCCCATAAAATCCCTTGTATTTCATAAAATGTTAATCCTACTTTAAATTTGATTAAACCAATAGAAAATCCATTGAAAACCTTACGTGATTCATAAGATTTTTGTAACCTTAAGCAAATAAAATGGAAAATTACTAAATGGTTTAAGTAAGAATTTCTTGGTTCTGTAAATACTGACAGGTATTATGATGCTTACATAAGTTACTGCTACGACTGAGTTATATACATATGTAGTTAATTTTTCAATGGTTGACATTTCATCGGTAAAATTTAGTACAATAAATGGTAAAAAAAATAGTAATTAAAATTTTGAAACTTCTATTACTAAATAAATAAAAAAGTAATACATGATAAACAAAACGGACTCTTTAGGACAACATAAGAAAAGTACAATTAAAATTAAATTAAATGCCCAAAATGACCATCTTCTAGAAGAATACAAGCCAAGGAACAAGAAAAATCATGTGTCATTGATTAATAAAAGCGACAGCTATTCCAGACAACAGCGAGACTGTGCGGACCATTTTAATTATTTACTTGTAAATTTTAAACGATTTTTGTAGAAGAAAGGAGGACAACTAGAAGAACCCTGTCAGAAACAAATATTACTCCTGCCAATTGTGAAACTTCGCGGGTAAATTCGTTCAATTTTTATTTGTGTAATGTAAATAGAACTAAAACATTGTAATACAATAGGGAGTATACTATTTTCCCCTAAAAGCTTGTCTACAATAGCGAAAAGAAATTACTCTAGGGACCAGGAAATATGTTTCTTTAACTGATCAGTTTGGTACAAATTTTGTTTTTAATTGAATTTTTCAATAAATATTTTTGTATCAAAACATGACTAATGGGCTAATAACATTTTGTAAAGCATTCAAGTTTTTCCCGTTTTTTTGTCGTTAAATTTCCGATGCAACGCTTTAAATGTAAATTGATTTGAAGGTAGGAGGAAGAACGGTGCACAATTTGGCCCCGTTCCTTTCATAAACGGGAAAGCAGTGACGCAAGTGCCCTCGGGCGTCGTCGAGGTACGAGATCGTATAAAATGGAAACGGAGGAAGTATGCCGGCTGATGGGTAAAGGTCAAAGAGCACTCTAGGTGTTGGAGCTGGTTTGTTGGAGGGGCCGGCTAGTTAGCAAGGGCGGCACACATCAAAAGAATCCCGGCGGCTCACCTCAAACACCCGGGTATTAATAATCCCCCACCAGGCTACACGGACACATATCCCGGCTCATTCTCACACGAGACCTCTCGTTTCAACACTTACTCATCCACAAACCTAGTTCCCCACGTCTCTCGATAGGTGACCTCTCCACCATACTGGGGATTTTATTCAATTTGTATATAATTTCGTCCGAAAAATTCTTAAAGATCCTCGACAATTTATCCTAATGATAAAGAGACCCTTGAACAACCTCGTCACGCTATAATTAATCTCTCTCTCTCTCTCTCTCTCTCTCTCTCTCACTCCTTGGATGAACCTTAAATTTTCTTTTGTCTGATACAGATGAGCTAGGCAGGCTTTTTGTAGATCTAACATTGCACAAAAGGTGTGAACATTTCTTAGTTAATTAACTTGGCATATATCTGAAACGACTACACGTCAATTAATTTTTCCAGGCCTTCTAAGAAAGACTTAGAAGATTAATTTACAATAAAAATAGTACTGGGTTTATTTTTTCTATCAATTTCTTTTTTTTTAATTTTCGTTCAACAATTGTTGAGTAGAAGTTGAAGTTGCCATCTGATTACCAGGTGTACACCTTGATTCCTGATTTGTACCTGATGATGTAGTCTGCTGGTTGGTCGCCGTAGATGTAGTCATTTGATTACTACCTTGTTACTGAGCAGTACCAGATGAAGTTGTCATCTGATTTGTACCTAATGGTGTAGTCTGCTGGTTGGTCACCGTAGATGTAGTCATTTGATTACTACCTTGTTGCTGAACAGTACCAGATGAAGTTGTCATCTGATTTGTACCTAATGATGTAGTCTGCTGGTTGGTCACCGAAGATGTAGTCATTTGATTACTACCTTGTTGCTGAACAGTACCAGATGAAGTTGTCATCTGATTTGTACCTAATGATGTAGTCTGCTGGTTGGTCGCCGTAGATGTAGTCATTTGATTACTACCTTGTTGCTGAACAGTACCAGATGAAGTTGTCATCTGATTTGCACCTGATGATGTAGTCTGCTGGTTGGTCGCCGTAGATGTGGTCATTTGATTACTGTCTTCTTGTTGAGAAGTACCAGATGAAGTCATCTGATTTGTAACTGAATGTAGTCTGCTGATTGGTTCCCAAAGATATCATCATTTGACCGGATATAGCCTTGGGGGCTCCCAGCAGAAGATTGTTCTTCACCAATCGTTGTAATAAGAGTTGATCTATCTGATGGTGAATTCTGATTCTAACTAACTTCATTTCCTCCTTGGGTTGTTGTCGATGCTGTACTTGTTCATTTAGACGACGAACAAGAAGACTGCTGGAAATACGAGAACTATTAAACCAAGTTTGAGTAACAGTTGTATCACTCAATAGGATAGTGGTATCATTCTGTAAATACACTCGAAGGCATGGTAGTCATTCCACTGTCTTCTCTATATACTAAATACTCATAATCACGATTTATATGATTATTACGTTCTTAAGAGTGTCTTTTTATAAAAAAATGTTTCACTATTCAATATTTACATATTTGAAAATTAAATGGTCCGCGTAGTCTGTTATCTAGGTTTATTAATGGCAATATTGGTCATAGTTTTATCAAATGTGATCATCCCGGTCCGCAGAATCTCGCTTTTCGGGGGTTTTTAGTGAAAATTTATACGCTATAAATGTGATGTAGGTTTCAGAAAAACATTTTCTTTATCGTGCCAACGTTTCGATCTTTATTGAGATCATCTTCAGGGATTTACAAACATTGTTTACAATTAACAAATACATTTAGGATGTGGAAAAGTGAATTTATACAATGCAAAATATATTTTTTATTTTTTATATTACTATTATTTTTATATACTTTGATCGAATATAAAAATTAAAAAATATATTTTGCATTGTATAAATTCACTTTTCAACATCCTAAATGTATTTTTTAATTGTAAACAATAGTTATTCAGAAATCGTGAGATGCGGTCTGGTGTGATGTAGGTTTCAGAAAAACATTTTCTTTATCGAGCCAACGTTTCGATCGTTATTGAGACCATCTTCAGGGCCTGGGATTTACAAACATTGTTTACATTTAACAAAAACATGTAGGATGTGGAAAAAAGTGAATTTATACAATGCAAAAAATATATTTTTTATAATCAATCAAGTATTTCTACTCACTCAAAGTGTTTGTTTTCTGCGTAAGTGAGCCATTCTTGCGTGTCGTGTTGAGAGTGCCAGTGTGCCCAGGCCCTGAAGATGATCTCACTAAAGATCGAAACGTTGGCACGATAAAGAAAATGTTTTTCTGAAACCTACATTACACCAGACCGCATCTCACGATTTCTGAATAATTAGTTAGAAAAAAATTTGAAATATTTTTCTAATTTTTCTATCAATTTTTTATTCCCTAGTTCATCATGGTCTGGCTATAATGTTTGGTCTGACGAAATCCAACATAAAGCACGTAATAAATAATTCCTTTTGGTCTAGCACCGAGCCAAACATGCGGACCTCTTCCGAAGATGGCGAAATGCCGAAAACGCGCCAAATAATTGCCAATCTGGCGAAACGAAGACAACTCCGCAATTAATTTTTCTTCATTTCTTCTCATAAATTCTGGGAAGATCTCCAACTTACTAAACCAATTATTCAACGTCCTTTTTGAGTATTCGTAGTTTATTATTTTGTTAGGAAGATTTCCCTGGCGTGCTTATTTCGAAATGCCAGAATTAATTACGGGCCTGAACTGACGAATGGCTGTTTTGGCAAATTTACAATGATCAATTTATCTAATCTAGGAGTAGACAAAGCCAACAAGAAACCCTTTATGCAGTCTCACCCTATTTTAAGCCTTGTATTTTAACATTACAACAAATTCAGACTTACCATGGGCTTGACTTTTAAAAATCATTTAGTTAAAAGTAGCAAATTGCCCAGCTCTGTACATAACAGATGGTGAAAATATCATCAATTTGCCAGAAGCAAATATAGACGTGCATTGTTTTTTTAACATCAAGATGCACAACATTGAACTTTATTGTTCTACAAACTATCATCATAAATTCTAACGTTTATTTTACAATTTTCTCGTAATTAAAGCCAAATTTTATGTACTACGATAAAATATTTCATCCAGTTTTCAGGTAGTTTTAATGTTTTACGGTAGTTTTCGGTTCAAGGGGTGACCGAAGGGAGAAAATATAGTTCAGAGGATTTGTTGGATCATCAAAACTCCCACGGGATTGTTCTAATCGTGGTTCAAAGATTTCTTCACGAATTGGGTCAGTCATTCACATACAACTCCGGACCTTTCTTCTATCTCATGTCTACGAACAGTGCAGTATCATGTTTCATTTTCGAATATGCTGTAACCTTTGTCTTACGATGGCGAAACGCACCTGACCAGTTGGAACAAATGGTTAACACAAGTTTAAAAATGCTATATGCTAGCCTGTAACGGTTTTTGATGTGTTGAATGTGGTTTTGGTTTTGACATCTAGCTGACAAATTTAACATTCCAAAAAATAAATTAACAAAAAAGAAGGCCAACTGAAAAACTTAAAATAGACTGTTTCCCCCTTAAATTTAGCCAAATCTCCACCATCCATCGATCTCATAACTAATAAGAATATTCTTGAGTTCCCCGTTTGAAGTGAAACCCGGCCAAAATCAGATGCTAATCCCAGGAGATTCGGTCCCGCGGCCTGGTCGGCTGTAAAAACCAAAAGGCCGGTAAGGGGCGGGGGCCGGTAAATCCGATCTGAAAAGGGCTCTGCATTCTTTATACACCTGTAACGGCTCTCACATCCTTGTAAAACACGACAATATTTCCCGTGCGAGACAGAGCGAGACGCCGGCCGCCACAATCGTTGCCGGAGGTGGTCGGAAATAATAATACACCCGTTGAAGGGGCATATACTTACAAAAATGGCCTTTTTTTCTATGTTAAATTATTAGAAAGACAGCAATATGCCTTTCTTACTCATTCTCTCTGCCTCTTTCTTGCTCTTCCTCTGTCTCTCACATTCCTTTCTCTATCTCTCATTCTCTTTCTCTACTTTTCTATCGGTTTGTCTTTTTATACCGCTTACTCTCTCTTATATTTGTATATAACAATTTGTTTCTTTATCTATGTGTCTATCGTTCTTCTTTCCATTACATTCTCACTCTCTCTCTGTCTCTCTCTCTCTCTCTCTCTCTCTCTCTCTCTCTCTCTCTCTCTCTCTCTCATTCACTCACTCACTCACTCATTCTCACCCTTTACTCTTTCGTTGACTGTAAGAAAGGTCCATATGACCTAAATCTGCTAGTATTATAAATAAAGCGTTTCAATTCAATTCAATTCTCTACCTGTCCATCGATCTACCTTTATTTCCATCTCTCTCTCTCTCTCTCTCTCTCTCTCTCTCTCTCTCTCTCTCTCTCTCTCTTTTTCACTCACTCACTCAGTCATTATCTCTCATTTCTCACTCTTATATCTAAATGTTCATATGTATATCTATCAAATTATTGATACATCTATATTCTCTTATTTTGACAATTTATCATCTATCAAATTATTGATACATCTATATTCTCTTATTTTGACAATTTATCATCTATCAAATTATTGATACATCTGTATTCTTTAATTTTTTCTCTATCTTCTTCTCTCTCTCTCTCTCTCTCTCTCTCTCTAACTCGCCACCTAAATTTTCGAGATTGTTTAAATAAAACTATATTCATTCATTGATTCTTTATTTCTCTCGTTATCGTATGGTAAGCGAGCAGTCTCTTTTACAACTAAGATTGTTTTCCTTGGTGTAGAAAAATTATTTACACCACAGAGGTGTTCTCCACCCCCCTCAAACTAGTAACATGAAATAGTTAACGAAACGCCGACAAAAGGTCAACTTTTCCACTGTCATTGTCCAGCCGTGAAGGATGGAAAAAGAAAAGAAAATAAAACAGGGAAAGGGAAGAAAAAAGGTAGGTGAAAGAGGGCGCAATGTGTTTCTCGAAGATACAATGAGAAAGTTATTAGAGGACAATGGGCGAGTCTGTCTTTTACACGGCCGCCTGTTGTTCACCGGACGTTTAAACACCATTCAAGGTACAGATCGCTATATCGCCCCCCTCAAATAGAAAAGTTTTCAGACAAAATTATCCAGATTTGATGATATGTCCATAAAAAATCATAGTTTCTTCTGTTAAATTGAACAATCTGGAATTCTTCTGAATCCGATAAAGCACGAAAGGCCGTAAACACGTTTGAAATCGTAATGGGCCGACTGACAAATAACAGTTGGCCAGGGGAAAAATTTGTTAAAAAAACTCCTCGGGGATTCAGCTCGCAACCACTCGTCAGATTTATGAGGGTGGGAAAATATCGCTACAAACCAGAATGTTCCCTAAATAAGTCCCGGCCAAAACAAACAGGACACGAATAGCATCGTGAGCTCGAATTTTACAAGGGCCCTCGTTGGATTTATTTCTCCTCAAGTAATGACTTTATGACGAGCCGGATAAGATTTATTCCCAGGGAGGTGCAAGACGCTGCTGACAAACGGCCTCCAGTTCTATTAAGTGGCAGTAAACATTTCAGCCGAAATAAACCCTCTCCAGAGCTAAACAGAACAGATTGAAATCGTGGACGATTTGTCACACTAAACGTTCCAACATTTTTAGGGTG